TACTCTAGCTTGGCAATTCTAAGAATGTAAAGACATTACTTGAATTGCTCAAAGTAAAGAGAAGGGAGAAACGCGATGATATTTTTCTGAGGTATCGGAGAGTCGCCACTCCCCACTAGTCCTCATTGGAGCACCCGCGCAAGGGTGTAGCTTCTTCTTGATTTGCGCAAGGATCAAGTGCTCTCTACGGGCTGATTTTTTGACACTCCATCACGGTAAATCGCCCACAACCGCTCACAACATAACTTGGGTCATCCACAAGCTCTGCTGGATGATCACCAAGCTTTTAATCACCACCGAGTCGTCTAGGTGATGGCGATCACCAAGAGTAACAAGCACAAACTCTCACTTGACTAAGACAAGCCTAATGAGAAAGGTGAATGCCAAATTGCTACTCCCTATGCACTAATGAGGTCCTTAATCTTGGATTATCAAATCTCAATCACCACACTAGGCTCTTGCTCTCCCTTACACTATAAAGGTGTTTTTCAGCTGAACAAATGGGCAAAAGAGCTAAGTTGGACGAGTGGGGGAAGTATTTATACTCCCCACTTCAAAACATACCCGTTGGGGTCCAACTCAGCACATTTTGAGGTGACCGGACGCTCAGGTCAAAGTGATCGGACGCGTCCGGTCAGTAGCCAACGGCTACATGATGCTAGCACAGTCATCAGAGACCGGACTCTGACCAGCGTCCGATCACCACTCATCTGACGCGCCCGGTCAACAATTTCCTGTTGTTGACCGGACGTGGCCTCTAGTGTGTCAGGTCACAGCGTCCGGTCCTTCATGAGTACTGCTTGCTCTACAGTTGCGCACACCTGCGCGTCCGATCCTGACTAGGAGCCAGTGTCCGGTCGATGAGCAAGCCCTAGCTGCGTGAGCTAACGCTGATCGGACGCGACACCTGTGCGTCCAGTCATCATCCAAGTCTCCATTCACCTCAAATTCTACCAACTTTGTGAACGACATTGACTTCAACTGATCTATAGGCTGTCCTTGGACTACCTAGTGCTAAGTTTGACAAGTACGCACCACACATAAACCATTAGATTGGTCAAAGAAAAAACAAAGTACTAAACTACTCTAAGTGTCTCTTCAACGTCAAACGACACTTAGAACTAGTCCGTCATTAACATTGTCGTCCATCCTTTGAAAACTGAAACGATTTCCATCGACAGGGGCATGAAAACCATAATTGCCCAATCAATCACCATTACCATGACCTAACTCAAGTTGCCTCTGCAAAACACACATTAGTCACAGTAATCTTGTGTCGTCATTAATCACCGAAACCAAACTATGGGCCTAGATGCTTTCAGTAACATTAATATTTTTATAATCCCGACATTAGTATTTTTATAATTCCGACATTGGTATTTTTATAATCAGTCATTAGCTTTTGACACTTATTTATTAGATTTATACCGTACCATCAGATGTGTTCATGTACGTGATGTACCTCCATGGTGCCACACGTCTGGCACGGGCACGAGGCCGCTACACCAGTTTGGAATATGGCGCTGTTGCATTCGTATATGCTCATTCTGTACACGCGTGCACCCATATATGGCAAGAAACGAGCTATTCTTGAAATAGATATCGTGTACACATTTGTTAGTTTGTTGCTTTTTTGTTTTATTTTTTCTAAATATTTTAATTAATTAGTAATTACTTAATTATTGCATGCACTTCAAAAATCAAGGGCTAAGATTTATTTGAGATCTTACCTCCTATGGAGTAATAGCTGTACAAGTGTTCGACGATGGACCCGTTGATTTGAATATGAATGTCAACACGTTTAATATAAAATTCAAGCATCATCTTCACGCCGTGTGTGTGTGTGTGGAGTAGTTGTCTATCTACGATTGCGTTAGCCTTAACGCGAACAGATTACAGGTGCTACCTCCAACCGGTAACCACTGTCCAAACCATCGAAAACATCAGTTCATTGGTTGGAGGATAAAATTAAGTTTCTTGTACTCCTCCGGAGTCATGGAAAGTGATACTTTCGAGTTGTTTACATATGGTATTAACATAGTCTCATGTTGTAACAAAACCAGTGTGTTTTCTAAAAATACTAAACAATAGATCACCTACCATTTAGCCATTATCCAGACTAAAGACCATTTGAAAGGGCGAAACGACCATTTAAACAAGATAAAACACAAAGGGTATACCTTAGTCTGTAAACGAGGTGAATGAATGATTGTTTAGACGAGTCGTGCTTAATGTGGTGTCGCACAAACGAGAACACATGGTTACTATGTGCACCTTTGAGCACCTATTGTGAGTGATGAGTGATTATTAAGGGGGGGGGGCATAGGTGGGGCCAGGGAAGCCCTAGTGAGGATAGCTCACTTATGTGCATGGAGTGATGTAGCGGACAGTCTGGGAGTACACCTCTCGGTGTTTCGGACCGGGGGTCCTCAACCAACTAGTAAATTTGTACTGCGTGTCCCTAATCCCGGATGGTGATGCAAAGAGACACAAGGTTTATACTGGTTTAGGCAATCAGTGCCCTACGTCCAGTCTAGGAGATCGATCTTGTATTCCTTGCACCGAAGTGCTCGTAGTAGGGAGTTACAAACAGGGCGAGAGAGGGAGCTAGCCCCAAGTCTCTATGATGAACGGGACGAATTGCTCGAGACGCTGATCTAAGTGTGGGTGCTACGGCCTGTGTTCGTCTTCCTCGTGAGTTCGTATGTGTCTAAGTGTGTTCCAGTTTAGCCCCGTGTCCCCCGTCCCTAGAAACAGCCCAGCTCCCTCCCTTTTATAATAGAAGGGGGATGGGGGTGATACATGCGCTAGTTACGTGGCGTCGTGTGAACAGAGGCGGCCTGTCCGAGACCTGTAGCCTGTTGCTGTGGCGGAATAGTCGATGGAGTGGTTCTGTCCCTGGCCGGAGCAGTGCACCGGTCACATCCGATCCTGTGCGACGTAATAGCTTGATATAGGGCCTGACGAGCGACGTGCCGGTCGTAGTGCGTTGTCCGCACGAAGTGCCGAGGCTTAGCCGGTGCCGAGGCCGAGCCATCGTGGGGGGGCTCGGCAGGTGTGAACCCCAAGGTTGTCGAGACCCTGAGGTAAATTGTTGAAGCGTGGGTGGAGCGGCTGACCCTGCACCCTGATTCCGAGGCTACAGGGATCCGAGCTTAACTCCCCATGCCGCGTCGTCCTCGGAGTAGTTAGAGTTAGGCAGCACAGTGCAATATGGACATTTAGTCGTGGGCACAGTGCTGCGCACAGTGGCCGGTAACTCCTGCCTTGTCTTGTTTCGGGCGGCATGGTGCCGATGTGATTTGCATCTCGTCGGCCACTCCTAGCTGTCATCCGGATGACGTCGTGGGAGCGGTTGGTCGAGGCGGAGGCGATGGGGTAGTTTGCCAAGCCCGTCTTGAACGAGGTGGAGCGTTGGTAACTCGCTCGAGGCCTTTTGGGCGGGGTCTCGGGCGAGTCGGAGAATCGGTTTCCTGTCCGAGGCCTCTGAGGCCACTGGCGAGGCGGAGAGCTAGTTATCCATCCGAGGCCTTGGACGTGCCCTGCGTGCGATACGGGGGCCTCGGCGGTCAGCGTCATACTCGGTTTAGGTGGAATAGTGCGGGACGTGTGTCCACAGGGCACGGTAACCCCTGCACCGTCAGTAAGGGATGGTAAAAAGGAGATTTGACCGTTGTCCTATCGCCCCTGTTGTTGTACCCTGCCGGTCGTGGCTGACGCAGCGGGTGCTCGCAGGGGCATTAAATGGATGGGACAGCCTGCCAAAGGGACGGTCGAGGCGGAGGCGACGAGGACACGGGACGAGCCCGGCCTCGGGCGAGGCGGAGTGGGATCGGGACCTCCGAGACCCTGACCGGGGGCCTCGGGCGAGGCGGAGATTTGGTCCGAGACCGGATTCGGCCGAGCCGGCCTCGGATTATGAGTTTTTTCGGCTTTTGCTTAGGGTACCCTTTTTACGGTACCCGACAACACCAGATAGTCCGTGGGGACACTAATTTGCTGAAAATTGCTAAGTTGTATGTGTTGTGGTGAACACACTGGGAGTACACCGGATAGTCCACCGGGACACAACTGAGCCTAGAAAGTACAGTTTTATGTCTATGCAGTTTTCCAAAGTGAGATTAAAATGTACTTGATGTTCATGCTGATTATAAAAATGACCATGTCACAATCGTGTGGTGAAACTACTGATCTCTATGTGATGGATTATACGCGATGGACTCGGACGCAGACGCTTTAGTAGTAGTACTCGGTCGAAAAGACAACGCCTAGTAGAAGTAGAGAGGGAACTCTTGGCAGTTTTCGGCCAAATGATGAGGAAGACGAGGCTGTTCGGACCCCACAGAGGTTAGAGATATACTGCCAGATCCATGTATAGGAAGATATACTGCCACAAAACATTTTTGCCTGTTAGTTACGATAATAATAATAACAATAATAACGCATAGAACATTTTCCTTTAGAGGAGTAACTAAACATGCAATTGGCTTTGAAATTTACAAAGAAAAAGGAAGGGGAATATAAATCTGGAGCTACGTGGGGTACCAGGATACAGGACAGTATACAAGATAGAACGCCTTGCTAAGAGCAAGTGAGCATCTCTAACAGCTCGATAAATCAACTCTCAAATTTTTGTTTTTTTTTGTATGATAGAGAAAATCCCACTTTCAACTTTCCTATCCTTATACTCCGGATATCTATCCGCACTACCCATACTCCCTATCCATTTTTCTTTCCCGCGGTGCTCTTCCTTGCACATGGTTCTGACTTCTGAGCCCCCTAAATCAAAGAGCCCGGCGATATAAGAATCAAAGCAGCAAAAGTGAACAGGGTGATCTAGCCGGTTTACCGCTAGAGGATGCTTCTTAGCCTTTAGCCCTGTTTATTTTGTCTCAAAACTAGGAGATTGGGAGGGATTAAAATGCCTGCAAGTCAAAATCCTCCTCAATCCAATCCGCTGATCTAGGGATGAAAAGAAAATGCCTCACTGTGATGGGCCATCAATCGCCATTCAAACAAGTGGTTCTGCGCACCAGCTGCGCCCGGAGCGGTTTCTTCATGACGGTGGTGAACTCGCGTGTCTCGGCGAAATCCACCTCGTAGCCGGGCACCTCTTTCCATTCGAATTCCCGGACCAAGTTGGCCACGAAGTACTCCAAGTGAAGCATGGCGATGCCGAGCCCGGCGCAAATTCGCCGCCCAGCGCCGAAGGGCATCATCTTGATCTCCCTGCTGCCAGTCACGTCCACGCCCTCACCGTCGCCGCCTGCCAGGAACCGCTCCGGCACGAACTCCATGGGCCTGTCCCACTCCCGCTCGTCCCATCCCATCTCTGCCACCGTGAAGTTCACCGTCGCGCCCTTGGGGATCAGGTACCCGCCGACCTCCATGTCCTCCGCCGCCTTGTGCGACAGCAAGAAGTGTGCAGGGGGGTGCCGGCGCAGTCCCTCGAGGACGACGGCCTTGAGGTACGGCATCTTGTGCGTGTCCTCCTCGGCGACCTCCCCTTGCTCTTCGCCGCACGTCGCCTTGATCTCGCTGTAGAGCTTCTCCTGTGCTTCCGGGTTCTTGACCAGCTCGGCCATGATCCACTGCAGCGCGGTGGACGTCGTGTCGGTGCCGGCGGTGAGGAACTCGGAGCAGAGGTTGGACATCTCGTCGTCAGTGAGCGCGCGGTCCCCCTCTTCGGGTAGCCTGATGTCGAGCAGCGTGTCCACGTACGAGTGCTCGAACGTCGTCGTCTCCTCTTCTGGCGCCACCGCGGCACCACCTTGTTGGTTCTTGAGCTGCTGCTGCTGCTTGCGCACTCGGCGCGCGTCAATCAGTGGCACGAAGAGCTCCTTCTGCCGCTGTCGGGCGGCAAGCCCCTTCTGGAGGCGGCCGCGGAAGAGGATTCTGGTCAGTGCCGGCCAGAACGCGAACACGCTCATGTTCTTGGCCACGAACATGAGCCAGCCGTACTGTGCGGACGCGATGGCGCGCACCGCGGGCTCATCCACCCGCTCGCCGAAGCACATGAGCACCAGGAGGCAGAACATGGCGTACCGGAACGCCTCCATCACGGGGGGCGGCGCCTGGGCTCTCACCTGGGCCTCCTCGGCCTCCCGCCCGAGCTTCTCCGCGAGCACGCGGCGCACCCACGCGCGCGCAGGCGCGAACAGCTTCACCCGCGATGGGTGCAGCGTCTCGGCGACGAGGTTGCGGCGCAGGAGGCGCCACACGGGCCCGTAGCTGGACCGCGAGATGGTGTTGCCGCTCTCCCCCAGGAGCGCGCGCGTGACCGCGGGGCGGTCGGCGAGCGCGGCGCCGCTCTCGACCAGCGCCGCGTGCGCGACGCGGCGGTCACCGATGAAGATCGACAGGTTCGACCCTGCCCGCAGAGATACGACGGGGCCGTAGCGCGCGACGAGGCGTCGGAGCAGCGCCTCCACGTCGGACGAGTGGCGCCTCAGCAACAGCAGGTTGCCGATGAACGGCAGACCCGGTGGGCCCGGCGGGAGCCGGGCGCCGTTCTTGCCCTTACGGGGCCCGTGCTGCTTTCCAACCAGGACGACGACGAGGGGCAGGAGGAGGAGGGCGGCAAGAACTAGGAGCTGTGTGGCCATGGCCAGGTCTTCTTACTCTGCTTTGTCTCGTCCGTCCATACCGAGTTGGAGAGGAAGGGAAACCTCACAGTCCTATCGACGTCATGGCTGATGGAGGAGACGACACCGACATGAAATCTGCACCAAAACAAGATAGTTGTTTACATGGTGTGAAATGAGCAGTCCCCATTTAAAAAGAAAAAAAAAAACAGTCCGATGCATAGAACACGGATCAGATCGTCGTGTACCCACCGGAGAATCTCTCACAGGAATAATCTACTACTAGTATTTTGGGCGGAGATGAAAGGCAACTTTGACAGAGCTCAGATCTCTAAACTTTCGTCAGTCAACTGGTATAGAGCATGCTAATCGCATTTCGCAGCAACCACGGCTGTGTTCGGCTGGGATAGTCCTTTTTTTTTTCTCCAGCCAAAGCCGTGTTTTTCTCTCACAAAATACCGTATAAACAGTATTTTCATACCATCATGAACAGTATTTTCATACCAGCCACATGGACAGTATTTTCATGCCAGCCGAACACAGCCCACAAGTGCAAGTGTCTACTAAGGCCCAGTTTAGTTCCCTCCCATTTTGCAAAAAATTTCAGATTTTCTTTCATCGAATCTTGTACAACAGCCGCATGGAAATATAAATAAAAATAAAACTAATTACATGCCAGCCGAACAATCTTTTAAGCCCACAATTGCATTGTGTCTACAACGAAAATCTTTGCAGCAGTTCGAAAATTCTAAACAGGCCCTAAGGCAGTTCGATTCATGAAAAAAAAATCATACGCATTCCTCCTTGTAACCTTGTTGCAAACAGTGGCTACAATGAAAAGGAAAGATAGCGACGATCACTCCCTCGATACTTCAGATTCAGATTAAAAATAGTGTACTGAAAATGATTCTCTTATCACATTAAATTTTTTTGCCCAGCCAATAGTAGTCTTTGAAGACTAGTCCAGGGCAAGATTATGGTGAAGTTGTCTTCACGTGGACGGCACTAGCAATTGTGGAAGACTTTCGGTTCCATGTCTGAAACTCTGAATGCAGATTTGCAAGAACGGGGCAAACTATCCTGGTCCAGGAACAAGAATTCCTAGCCCACAAGAACAAATCCAACACATTTTTTTTTTGGCAAATCCAACACATCATTTTGGTGGAACTAAGACGGTAAGATGATCTACAAGTACAAAGCAAGCTGGGCATATCAGTATAAGGCAGGGAGCCAGGGAGCCCGGGAGTCATGAGATATGAGGATACAACACACAGTTTACTGTACTCGCCGTTGTACATTCCACCAAAGCACACAGCTACAGATCTCGCCAAAATTTACAGGGTGCGTGCAGCTCGGCTCAGTCCAAGGTTCAGATCACACCAAAATTTACAGGGTGCACCAGCTCGGTTCAGTCCAGGGTTTGGTTGAATATCATACAGGGGAAGAGCATGAGCGAGAGAAACTGGGCAATCAAACTCCTCCCACAGGAACAAAGCCAGCACATCATATTCGTGGAAGTAGGAGTAGGTCAAACAAGACGGCAACATGATGTGCAAGTACATAGAAAGTTGTACATACCAGTTTAGGTTATCCAACAGACAGACAAGGATCAACATAACTCATTTTCATCTCCATTACCAGCACACACGAGCATACATACAGTTGCTCTACTCCAGATGTTGTACATTCCACCGACACCAACTCAACAACACTCTAGTTCCTACTTAACAGAAAAGGCTAGTTCCTACTTACCGACAACACTCTAGGTCGAACAAGACGGCAACATGATGTACAAGTACATAGAAAGTTGTACATAGCAGTTTTTAAGTTATCCAACAAACAGAAAAGGATCAACATTTTGCAACTCATTTTCATCTCGATTACCAGCACACATGAGCATACATACAGTTGCTCTACGCTAGATGTTGTACATTCCACCGACACCAACTTAACAACACTATTTACTCAACAACACTCTAGTTCCTACTTACCAAAAAGGGAAGCTATATAAGCTTTTGCACAGCACAGCTAGGGGCACATGATTATGCACAATGCTTCTGAGACCTGGGCCCGGCTTAGTGTTGGTGGGGCTGAGCAGGGGCCAGAAGTCAGAAGCACCACGCATAAGGATGGGCTGTTGAGCTGTCTATACACGCATTACATGGCACAAACATGAGATAGCATATTAAGACCTGACCTCTGCAGCAACCTTGCCCCCGTCTGAAATCCTGAGATTGCAAAGTAGTGCATCACGCCCTGTAAGCACGATCTGGAAGAAGTCACCCACCCGCTTTGACAGCGAGTCCAACCCCAACCAGAGCCTTTCAGCGCTTTTCGACATGCTGGAGATGCAGTTCAGCAGCTCCTCTCTCCTTTCCAAGCAATTAATCTCAGTGCCAACACCAGTGGCCTGCTTTGTGTTATCATCTTGGTGTCCTCTGTCACTTGTTTTCTCATGCACCATCACTTCTTTTGTATGACCGAAAGTCTTGGCATCCTCCTTGATGTCAGCTGTATCCATTCCTCCTTCTGTAGTAATACTTTGCAGCGTGATCACTTCATGCTGACAGCTAGTGTCCTCAGCCATCTTAAGATTATCCACATCGCCTCCTTCCTGGGCTGTAGCATCTGGCAGGACCACTTCCTTTGAATGGCTAAAAGCATGAACCAGGCTGGCATTCTCCTCTTCAAGCTGAGCAGCACAAGTCAATGTATGCAGCTGTCTAGCACATACCTCAACATCCGCCAGCTCTTTTACAGCTGGAACTCTGCATAGCTGACTGCTAAGTTCCCCACTTATGGCCTTATGAAGATCAATGAAGGCCGTAGACCATTCAAATTTCTCAGGGACATCAAACTCCACCAGTGGCTTGAAGCTACCCGACAGTACGGCTATAAGGACACTGCAGATTAAGACTGTAACGGCCTCGATTCCATACAATGCCCGCATGAGCACTTTCCCCTTAGCAGAATGCTTAACCTTCATCAGGCAAAGGTTCCCAGAAAGCTCCTGTAGCGCTGCCAAGCAACTATCAAGCCTCAGAGACCTTTCACTTCCTCGCTCAATCCATTCCTTAAGCGATACCTCAGCTTTCTTGAGCTGCTCCTGGGATGGCACGTCGCTCCCAGAGTCCAACACATTCAGGAGATATCGCACAAGCAGCTGCCCTTGATCCAACCGAGAGAGCTCTGAGCTCAGCGCAATGCAGATGTCCAGCAGCTTCACACTGCTGTTCAGGTAAATGTCCACCCACTTCTCGTCCCAGTCAGATAAGGGCAGCTCAAGCTCAGTAATCAGGGTGGCTATATTGGTGTGCAGCTCCGATAAGCAGTCCACTGCGAGCTTCATCCATGATAGTGTGAGCACCTCTGAGGTGTCCTCTGGTTTGAGCTTCCTCAAGCTCGAGGCCAGGCCATCCTCGTACGAAGCGAGGAGCTTGGTGAGCTTCGGCGACAGGTGGGCTCCTCTTGGGAAAATCATCCTGAAGGGATTCCCCACGGGAAAGATGGACCTATGGCCGTCGTGCGCATGACTCATCTCCTCTGTAATCAAAGCAAGGCCACAGATTAGGAATTCACGTCACAAACACAACCAGACATAAGGAAATCCTTACAGTAGGAAATAACACGAGTGCTATATGGTATTGATAATAGACACTACACGTGATGGTAATAAGCTAATAGCACTCCGCTCCGCAGAGAGAAAACTGCGCACGCTTCGTATCTTTTCTGGAAGAATATTTCTCGATTCAACTCAGGGACAAGCCTTCACCCAAAAGCTACAATAACATAGTGATACTCCCAGCACACTGGACCGCACTACATCATCAAGCGCGGTACTCCTGGAAGTTGGCTACAGCGTTTCTGATGCACCGCGTCCGCGCTCATACCCTAAACGCACTGACTAGCAAAAAATTGGGGAATACCAGAAACGCCGCTAACAACACATGACGATAGACAGCATCAGAAACGCAGAATCCATTGACGTAGGCGCAGCAATCGAACAAATTAGAAGCTACTGCGAACATACTGCCCACAGATTTCCCTCAAGGCCTCCGCTTACCCCTCCAAAATTTGGGCGAAACCGACCCCCATTCCCCCAAGACCCCAGCAACCATCAGATCGGGATTTAAAGCTACAGCGTCAGTAAAGGGATCCCCATACCTCGATTCGGGGACGCGCGCGGGCTCGATTCGACGTTGATGAAGAGGGGGTTTGCGTGGCTGTATGCCTGTGTCCGCTTGAAGCCTTCGCCTTTCGGTGAGGGTGCGACTTGCGTTGCGATTGCGAGAGGGCAGGCTGGTGAAGGTAGGGAGAGGAAAAGGGGAAAGCTAATGTGAACGCTGGAAAGTTCCAGACGGCCGTTGGGAGGAGATATTGCTGGGTTGGGTTGGGTTGGGCCCCGATGCCGTTGGGCTTCGATCTTTTCCGCCGCGGGGCCACCAGGATCCGGGTTGGGCGGCAGCTGGACGGCTGGTTACCGTTTGGTCGGCGTGTTTAGGCCCATTGTTTATGGTGTTTTGCGCAGTGGCAAGTCATTTTCTTGCCGTGATTTGGTGACGTGTCCCCGCTTAATTTCTCGGCTGATACATTCGTGCCCCGAGATTGTCTGAATTTAAGGAGAGTTGTGTAGCTTGATTTTGAAGCCTTGTTTTTTAAAAAGCACTGTTCTTTTTTCTTACGCACGTATGTTTCTTCCCGTGCCACTATCACCTCTGCCAGCAAATCTAACTATGCTCCAACAATCAATTTCAAAAACATGACCCAAGAAGTATTTGATAGGTGCAGGCCATGGTTTTCAACCTGCAATAACCATGAAATCTGCCTTGGGCCTCATTTGTTCACCTGTCCCAATATAGAAACCACGAGAAATACCTTGACCGACGCATCAATTTGATGGGGTGCATGCAAAGTATTTGATTCAATGAGGTTCGAATTGACCAAAAAGTCAGGTTTTTCTGAACTCATCTAACCTAAGCTTTGCCAGGACCGTCTATAAGATATATTATCGTGTTAACAAGTGTAGTATTATTCTAGTGGACAAAAAAAAGTGTAGTATTATTCTAGAAGTTTTTCAAAGTAATAGTACAAACACCAACGACAACCATCTACCCCCGCTAGGAGTGGATCCACCGGTATGACGAGGTCTAGCGGCTGCTGCTAGACCTTGCCATCAACAATCCTCCTCATCGACCACAGGATTGCCACATGAGTGTCTTGATGGACTATTGTGTGGCGTTCTTTGTCAGAGTCGCTAGTAAAAGAGAGATGAACAATACATGCTAATAATATTGTACTAAATAGCGTACTATGGCGGTGAGGGGATAACGACGCTATAGTGGTTAAGTTTAACTCTCCACTAAATATTATAACATGATATTTAAAACATCCTTCAAAATAACTTTGTGAACCTCGATTTTTTTTTTATTTTTTGCATTTTGAAGGTGGAACCATTGCGAGTATTCTAGAAGCTCCAACTCGTCAGAATTAGAAATTTCGAAAAAAAAGTGATAATAAAAGCGTGTTTCGGTTGGAGGTTGATCCCGTCAGACATGATCCGCTCTAGAATTGGCTCGTCCCGGCACTTTTTTTGAATGACATGGTCTCTCCCACGATCGCCTTTATTAACGCTAAGTAGAACCATCTGATGATGGACGGTGCGACTCCACATCATAAACCAAAGAGTTAAATGCATGGATGGCCTCTGAACTTGTCAAGAGGTGTTAGTTAGGTGCACAAACTTTAAAAATACATTGTAGCAGCAGTTTTTTTTGAAAAAAAAACACTGCTCCGGCTGAAAAAAAAAGCCGACCAGTCAGCCAATTGTGGCCAGCCGAACAAGCTCTAGAGCTCCTCCAAGTTGCAGCACCGGTGACCCTCACCCAGTCAACCATTGTGGGAATAGAGGCTGCGCGAGGGCACAGGCACATAGCTCCTCGCTCTAGCCTGCCCCCACGTGAGCTGGCGACCCTGGCCGCACCGCCGCAGCGGCCGATGCCGACGGCCCTAGAGGTCCCTTCCCCTCGAGCCCCTCCGATCAAGAGACCGCACCCGTCGCGGTTCATTGCTGGGATGGGCCGCTGGTGGTGCATCGCGGGAAGCGTTGGTCGGTCGCACGTCTGCAGGATGCAGCATGTCCAGCATCGACCTGAGGGTGGAGAACCGGATGGCCCGGTCCGTGTCGCCCATTCAATTTCCGCAGGTGGGCAGCATCACGATAAGCGGGTCCTTGCCGCGTCTGACGAATTAACGGCGGTAGCCGGTGGGTCGTTCGTTGTTGAACACACCGATGATAAGCACCGTGCACAGGTCGTACACCGGCCACATTTACTGGTCGTCGTTCCAGACGGGTTGTAGCTCCCGGCGATGGTTCACTTGCATGCCCAGTCATTTGCATGTTAGTGTCAGCGCGTCGAGTCACTAGGGGAAAACGTGGCTGTCAACTCGGAGGACCGGATGTGCATGCGTGTCGATGTGCACGCGCACGCATGAGTTCCGGCCATTAGGTTGTTGCTCGACAGTACGTCGCTAGGCTTTAAAGCCATATGGCTAGTAGTAGTAGTACGTGTTTTCAGTAGAGTTGAATACCGTTTGTTGCCACAGGCGTTCGTCGCCACAAAGTTCTTGTGTCAACTCCAAATTGCTGCTGTGTGCGTGTGTCGATCGACCAGCAGCTAGCTTCTTGTGCGTCCTGTGTTCCAAGCCTCCTCTCTCGTGTGTGTTTGTTTGGTTCCAACAGTAGCTATCAGCGATGGTGCACATACGTGTCCACTTGGGTCCATACTTGGCAACGGCGTATGCGTCAATGCAACCCTTGCCATCGGCCGTGCGCATCGATAGGAGGCCCTTGCATTCAACGATGCCTAGCTCCATGACACCAAGGCGTGGGGGCCACAGCTGCTGCACCGATGAAAGTCGCTGCACGCATAGGATCGCCGTCTCACTGGGGCACGAGGGGAAGGGACAGTGCTGCTAGCGTCCGGCGCTGCGATGGCGTGACCACGGTCACTGGCTCACGTGGGGCTGGAGCAGCAGTACGCCAGTACGGTGCTGCTGTCTCGTGAGGGGCTCGAGGGGAAATTGGGAAAGGGCAGGGCTGTTGGCGTCGGCCGCTGTGGCGGCACGGCCACGTTGCTGGCTCACATGGGGACGAAGTGAGGAGCGGTGCCCTCACACAACCTCTACTCTTGTGCCATGGGTGAGGCTCACTGGAACTCGAAACAGCTCTAGAGAGAGAGAGAGAGGGGGTGAGGAGGAAATATGGCAGGATGCGTGAGTGTGAGATAAATGAATTAATTTTGAGGGGTCAAATGCAAAGTGCCAAATACTGTTAGCGCCACAGTGGCAATGCCATGTTGGATAAAATGTCCATGTGGCTGATATGGACCTGTGGTGCACTACTTGTCAAGTTTAGTGACCTAGAAATCCATTTTTAAAGTTCATGGACCTAACTGACACCTCTTGATAAGTTTAGGGGCTGCCCATACATTTAACTCTAAACCAAAACAACATTCTCACCTTTCGACTTTTAGGATCGTATGATTTAGGATGACTTTGTGTCACAAACCAAACACCAAACACGCTATAAGTGATTCTAGCACGGGAAGTGTTGCAGACTGTCCGCAAACTTCAAATATTACAACAATCTTTTGCAAAGGAGAACCAAAGAAAAAGGTGCCCCTTCTTGACAAACTGCTCCCCTGTAGTTCAACGGATCTCCGGCCGACCTTTTTTTTTTTAAATGACAAGCGTACTGTCGGTGTTTTATAAACCGGACTAGTAAACTTATACGATTGCCGCGCTGCTCTAGGAAGACAATGGTAGCATCCAATGGACACGAGGATTTAGACTGATTCAGGTCGAGCCCTACGTCCTAGTCTCAGAGATGATCGAGTGCGTGTTCCTCGCTTGAATGCTCTGAAGTTCTTATAATGGGGGGTGCAAGAATGGTGAAAGGTCCTATGCTAGGTGAAAGGCTGTCCAAAGAGAAGCTCTAGGAGCCCTACTACAACGGTGAATGAGTGGAATGGTAGAGGATGTGAATCATCTTGCCCTGGCGCCCTTATATAGAGTTTAGGGCCAAGGCTCATACAAAGAGGAGGCTCTACCGAAGGGTCATGAGCTTAAGGTAGGTCCAAGCTAACTTGGCTTGCAAGCTATGTCATCTTCTGGTGCTCGTCCGGTTGTGATTATCGTTATGGTCTTGTGGCCATGCTGCGACAGGGTGTGACATAATGTTACTGTGCTAGCCATGGCGGCACTATGGGCATGGTGATGGTTCGTCAGCTGTCCTATGCGGCATGGTCTTTGTTGTGGTCTTCGTCATCATCGTATTATCTTTTGGGCATCGTACAGAGTTGGTGGCTGCCCCAGGTCGCCGATGACCATCTTGTCTTGAGGAGCTGAGGACCATGACCCTAGTTATCGAGGTCGGGGCTCGCTGCCAGTCTAGATGGCTTCGATGTTGTGGCCTTCATCGCGGTTCGCATGCCATAGTGGGTGGGACGATATATCCATATCATCGGGCCGTGTTTGGTC